CGGGAACCGAACTCAGGACCTTGCGCTTGCCAGGCAGGCGCTTTTACCACTGAGCTAAATCCCCAGCTTCTGTCTTTCTTTCTCCACATCTTTACTATGAGAGAGCAAATGGATCATGAGATGTCTTGCAGTTTGACCTCTATCGTACAGCTTTGACGCGTTGTCCTGTTTGCAACTGCGACTAGCAAGCACCCTTTTTCCTCTGGGAGTTTGAGAGCAAAAAAAAAGCGCACGTGCACGCACACACGCATGCGCAGAGCCCTCCTCTTCTTCAAGGGGCAGCCACGAGAAGCAGAGAAAAAAAGACTACTGCGACTCCACTGGGAGATCAAGGGTCATAGCGGCAGGGCAGGAGCCCAGGCCCTTAGGGACCAGTGTATGGGCCGCATGGGACAGGCGCTTTCTCTTTTTTAAAAAACAGTGTATTGCTTTTATTTGGGGGCCTGGAGGTGGGAGGAAAACACCCTAGTGAGGGAAGAAATAAAACACTACAAATGCGGAAACAGTTATTGAAACAGTAATACATAAAATGAATAACTGGAATCATTTTCTTAGGAGGGCTTGAATCATGAAAGAAAAACTTTCATCGCAGTTGCGCAACATTCTCCTGAAGGAGAAACTGATTTCAATAATATCAGTAGAGAATATGTTCTAGAAAATGGAGGTAACTGGATGTAAAATTCTGGCAGTTTAATAGAGCAGCCCCAGGTTGTTAGCCCGAGGCCAGCACCTGGTGAGGACGAAAGCCTGGTCTGTGGGGGATTTTGGACGGTACCTGCAGACATATTATGCGGTGCATGAACCAAATTGAATTATTTTCACAAGTGTTGCAAAGCTTCATATAGTAAAAATGTTTTCTACATGTACTTCAATTTTGCAGCAAAGCTGGGAGTGGTGGCACAAATCCAGCACTCAGGAGGCTGAGACAGGAGGATCATTGCAAGTTCGAGACCAGCCTGGGCTATAAAGTGAGCTCAAGGCCAGTCTGAACTGCATAGCGAGACCCTGTCTCAAAAAGACATAAATAAATAAATAAACAAACAAGAAAAACAACAAAATACTCTGTTCTTGCTGCTGCTTCTTAGCAAAACAGGTTTAAAAAATTGTAATCACTGAACATAGCACTCCGGCAATCGAGGCGTTTAAAAATCTCCACTCTTCTGGGGCGAAGAAAGCACAGCGGGACATATAAAACTCTGATTGTCAAACAAGGCGGTCACAAATTTTCCTGGCTTGAAGCCTTCCACAACTGTCCCGATCAGGTCCTCCTAGGAGGTCTGACTGCAGTTTGTTTCAAAGCTAGCCTGAGGAAGCTGTGGTTCTGGAGTGACGTGAATGGTCCCATAAGTCCATCCCATCTCGTTCCATTCACTGAATACCCACAAGGGTCGAACGGCATGGCATCAGCGATAGAACCTGGTATCAGGTCACTAATTCCACTCTCACAAGCCACATCCTTTGCAGTAACGTCATCTTTCATGTGGAACTGGTCCATGACTCCTGGGTCAGGCTCGCTCACCAGAATTTCCAGAGTCTGATCTGGCTGACTGATTACTCTCTGGGATATCCAGAGTATACAAATCCCAACAATTAGAATTCATACGTCCTGTATATCATGCTGCTCCTTCCTGGAAATTCTGGTGTGGGTACCGTTGGTGAGAAGGCTCCATGGAATTCTTACAAGAATTTGAACGCTTTGAATGGAGTCAAACCCACTGTAATCCCTAGCAAGCTTCAAGAGCAGAGCCACTGCTTCAGGAAGAGTGGTATTGCACGTCTCCAAAATGAAGCGTGTCTTGGAGACAAACATGCTACTGTCGCTGAGTACATAAGCTTCCTGCTTGTTAATCTGTGGCTCTTTTTTGACTTCACCATTCATTCACTTTTTCTTGGGGTTTCACTTGCAGAGTGAGGAGACCCAGCCAAATGTTTTTTCATAGTGCTCGTCGCGAGAGTCACCCTTGGGACTCCCTTCCCTGGGCTGCTGTTGTTGCAGATGTCCACTAGATGGCAGTGAAGGTTTTTCTAGCTTCTGGAATCCCCTCCTGGGAAAACTTCAAAACAGCTGGGAGAGTCGGTTTTGACTGGGTTTAGCTGACACAGAGGGGTCTGCAGGACAGGGACACCAAACAGAGAAAAGATACCATGCCAGGTGTGGCAGAGCATTCCTGTAACCCCAGCTACTCAGCAAGCTGAGGAAGGAGGATTGCAAGTTCAAGGCCAGCCTGGGCAAATTAGATCATGTCTCAAAATAAAAAATAAAAAGCGCTGGGGGAAAATAAAGAAGCAGCAGCTGTTGCTCTGTGTCTTCAAATCTCCCGCTGCGTGGAAACGTGAACTCCGGTTCACTGAGAGCCACTTTAGCTGACTGCTGCCCGTGTCAGCGTCTCACTTAATTCTCTTATGAAGTCGGCAAGTATTTGTAAAGGCAAGGGTAGCAAGAGAAAAAAAAGCCAACTCAAATTGGCATAAGCCAAAAAAGGGGGAGAATTTATTGGCTCACAAAACTGAAAGCTCCAGGGATAACTTCAGGCCTGACTGGGTCAAAGTTTTCATGCAGTATGAGCAGATCTGCATATCTATCCTTTTCTGCCTTTCTCTCTGCTGTTTCTCTTTGTAAAAAGATTCCCCCTTGTGGTGGGCAAGTTGGGTTTATGTCTGAGTGGTTTACAACCCCAGTGGAAAAAGATGGGCCCTTTCCAACCACTATAAGTCCCAGGTTTGCCCCGCTGGGATCAATACTCACCCTCAAACTAAACAGCGACCCCGGGCAGCCCTGCTTCGTGTCCAAGGGCTTAGAGCAGCAGAGGATGATTCCCGAAGGAGTGGCGGGGGTCATTTACAGGCAGAAAAGGTCAGGCAGGGAAATGGAGTGAAACCTGGCCAGTACAGAGGGGGAAAGGTCTGCCCAGCTCCAGAGCCCGTGGGTTTGACCAGTGGTCTCCCAGCAAGGGCTGGAAGGGAGAGCTCTGGTGGATCTGGCGCCGCTCGAGGGGACTTGCTGAGGGGCCGCTTTCCCTCGTCAGCACAGAAACCAAGGCAGGAAGGACGCTCAGTGTGAGGGAGGGTGGCACCGGCGCTTCCTGTGAGGGCCCGAGGGACCAGTCACCTGTAGAGGGCGTGGCTGGCCAAGCTGGAGCGGAAGCAGGTGCCTCTGGGAACCAGGCCCCCTAGGCGGGGAGGCACCTGAGCGCTCACTCAGCCAGAGAGGAGCGTGAATGAATCTCCTCTGGGCTCCTGTCCGGTAGGGAAAGGCAGGAGTTGGGGACACTGCCTGGTCTCCGGGGCGATCAAAGCAATGCCATCAGAGCAGCGACCCCAGGCGGGCATCCCCAGGGTGTACCCCAAACAAGTCCCAAGGCTGTCACAGAGGGGTGCAGCAGGCACAGGCCAGCTCCTCAGTGCCCACCTCAGATCTTCGCACCTCCACGCTGTGCAGGCCGCCGCCCCACCTCTGCGACTTGATGGCCTCAAAGTTCTCGATCCAGGAAGTCTTTCCTGACTGCCTCTCTCTGGGCCTGCTTGCTGTCCCTGGCTGATTGAGTCTTGCTGTCCCCTGGCCTGGACTTGGCGTGTTTACTTCCTGCCGTCTTGTACCGCACTGGCTCCGTGGGACCTGTCCCTCTGTGAGCACCGGGAGACAGGAGCGCGGTTCTGTCCCGGGTCACCCACAGCCCCCGCAACATTGCGAACTGTGTTGGCTGGTGGGGTGAGCGGGCGAGTGGGTGAGTGATGGGGTAAACGGCAGGTGCGAGGACACCTCTGGAGTGTAGGCCATGAGCTCCACGAGCCCCACGGTTGCCCTCCACGCTGCAAGGAGTCCCCACGCTTGAGGAAAAGCTGCTGAGACCAGGGGTCCCCAGCAGTGGTTCCCCATGGAGGGGGCTGGATCTGGGGTGGACAGAGAAGCAGGGAGGGAGAGAGAGGA